AGTCTTATTGTTTTCTGCATACAAGAAGAAGGACATCATTTCAATTACATTGTGCCTCTATCTTCGTTAAGACTGGAACGAGGCACAGCTTTGCTTCATTCTATTGTGGAGCTGGTCATAGAGTTAATTTAGCATATTCCAAATGTATCAATAATCCTTAATAATAAATTGTAAATTTAGCATCACTGCAAGCGGACTTTCAATGATGCTGCATCTTGCCGGGATAATAGTGCACAGGCTCCCGATCTTTCACAACATTTATTGTGAAGGATTGGGAGCCTTATATTTTCTAATTATGTATTTCCATCTTTCTGCATCATTAAAGTAGGCTGTTCCTTAAGAGAAAAGATTAAACTGCCCGGCTTATGCAAAAGGATTACGGTAATAGAAAGCTCATTCAGGAAGATGAGAAAACAAAGACGTCCTCTACCTTCTCTTCTATTCCCACCTGCTGTTCTGGTTTATAGGCTCATTCAGTTATACTCCACCACCATTCAACCCCCTTTAGAGCTAAATTTATCTTGGGACATGAGGTTTTGTTGCAGTGTTAACGATAGTGATGAACTCTCACATACATTTATAGACACACACACATATATAAATGATTCCTGTGGGTCCCTGGTAGCTTTGGTACTCATTTGGGCCGTCTCCCTTGGGTTTCTTGATTCCCATATAGCAAATTTAGAATAAATATGGTTCCCTTGAGAGCAAAAGTCCAGCAAAAATTCCCAGTTGTCTGCAACTCTCTCTGTGAAGTCTATCTCTTATTGTGTGTGTTTTTGTCTTATTTTTTACACAACACATATAAATGTGATTCATCGGGTTTTCCATGCATAATGCACATCTTATGAGAGACCAACCATAGCGCAGCATTCTGCTGTCATTTCATCCTCTGAGCTAGCTTTTTGTTCAGGCTTTCATTTGGGAGACATGGTTAGAATTTTTTGGTTAATAATTCTACTTCTAAAGGATTTTCCCTTCAGGCTCCTTTTAAATCTGTCAGCTCTCCCTGCAGGGATGCAGAGCGCATGTGGAACACATCTACAGGGTCACATTCATTTAGACGTGTCCTATTGATTATATGTTTATTTTGCAAAGCCCAAAATGGGATAATCTCTAACTATATTATTGTGAGGCTTTACAAGATTATAGATTCATTATTTCTGCAGAGCGCTATCAAAGGGTAGAGCATTGTGGTGAGCTGTGAATGCTGTTCCACTCATATATAGGAAGACATGAGCAGAATTAATAATTTGATGATATGAAAGATCTTCACTTAATACAAGGTCACAGTTGTTTTATTTTGACAGCATATCTTCTTCCACAAAGACCAGAAAGGCTGTTTTCATCACAGGCATAAAATGTGCCCTGCTTAGATATATATATTTTTATTCTGCAGATGGCAAAAGTGTCAACACCTCAACTCAAGTCCTAACTACCCAATCGCTTTCACTCATCCTACAGAGACGGGTGCAATAATAAATGAATTTAACATTCACTGACAGCCACAGCGTCATGCCTCACTAACTAGCACTATTATTTAGGAGAGACTCATGGATTGATGTTCCAGTGTAAAGCAGGCAGCCGTGATAAGATTTCAGATAGGCTACCTGAGGGTGGAAGTCTGTCTTCATTGATGGAACCCGCATCTTATAGCTCAGCCAATGACATTAGCAAGCTCCACCTCACCCGGTAAGCTGACTGGTTAGAGCTACAGGGTTTTTGTCCTCTAATGGCTAACAAGCTTAACTCCAGCATTTCTTATTAATATTCTGTGAACACAGACGCCACCACTGGACTAGAACATTGCTGGGCTCCATGCACCTCTCAAGAGCACCAAACATTTTTTACTCATTATTCATTTCTACAGAATAATAAATATTGTCACAATAAGGGTTACCAAAGAAGAGTCAGACTGAAAAACTGTGAAATAATTATTTATCCTTTGTGTAGTGGTTCAAAATCTGAGGGTGCAGTAATTTAGTAGTGTTTCAAATTTAAATCCCATATAATATAAAGCAGGGTCTGTTTCGATTTGCCTAGATCAGCCAAAGTCAAGAGTCATTCTGCACACTGTGCTGTGGCCTACTTAAAACCAGAGAAAATCCCATGGAGCTCACCTAAAAAAAGAAAGTGATGTATATTTTGGAAAATTGTATTCAAAAACATGAACAACACAGGCTGTTGACTATGTTTTTCGTAATGTTACCCAGTCATATTCAAAGTGACCCACCTGACCCTAACATCCATTTAAAAGCAGCACATTCTGGTCAGGTTAATATCACAAACTGACCATCTCCTAATACCAGTTTTAATTCACTTTTTACATTAATAAATAAATGTTTATACACCTCTAACTCTACACATGTGAGTGAGTAATTTCAAACTGAATTCCTGTGGCTTACCTGCAGTAACTTCACCAGCAGTGCCCACCCCACACTGTGGGAGTCACTGGCCTAGGCACACGCAAAGTAACATATAATTTACTTATTGTTTGGACTTTGATTTAAATGTATATTATGTAAATTCTGATACCATTAGTTAAAAACGTGTCTGCTAGTGCATGAAAGTGGGAGCACAGGAGTTGTTGTCTTCACCAATGTGTCATATTTTGGCTTAAAATGGACTCAAGGAGCAGACTGGTTAATATTTAGGGACAGCTGGTAATTGGCTGTGGAGGATGGTTTATCAGGGACGCGACCAGGAGCCCTGCCAGAGAAGAGAGAAAGTGTTAACAGCAGCCAAGATCAACTGAACAAGACATTGCAGACTTGTTTAATTAATTTCCACTATCTTCTTGTTGGTCTTATGAATAAATCTCCAGAGATGTTCACGGCTGGTAGGCCAAAATCCAAATCAGACCAGGGGGGCAGGGAATGGTGTTCAGGCAGGTGGAAAGCAGGTAAATCCATTCCTTTCCAAGGAAAGGAAGTGACTGATTGAAGCAGGCGAGAGTAGCTGGAGGTGTTTGAAATATTCTTGGGGTAGGTTGCGATTCAGATTTACAGGACAGGCTCCAGAAAGGAGATGACAAAACTGGGTTGCGAAGGAAAAAGCACAAACACTAAATGTAGCAGGGAGGGACTTATTATAATTATCATTATGATCATCATCATTAATCACCGGCCAGGATTTGAAGACCAGCTCTAGCCTCCACTCTTCGCCAGATGGTCTGCTACCTCACGGTGGGAAATCAGTTCATATAATATTGCTTAATGTTCATGTTCCTCCTCGTGTTATTTTATCTTCAGTATCCACACATCTTCAGTATCCACGCTCTAGGTTCAATACTCAAGTGTCTCTCACCATGTCTTCCAGTGCGGGTCAACTCAGTCTTCATGTTTCTTATTTGTCTGCTCTCCTGCCTGCAATAATCCTCCGGACATTGAAAAAGGTTGTACATCTTGGCTACTCACTCCTTGACTCTCTCGGACACTCACCTAGCTGCCTCCCCTGGGATCATTGTTCTTCATCTCTCCAAGTGAACGATTTAATTCTTCTCACTCTTTTGAAAATTCTCATCTCGACATCCCTGATCACATTTACTGGATTAACCCACCTTTTCTTCTCTTACAGTGAACTCATCTGCTGTGACATTCACAAAACTCTCTCTATTAAGATTCCTGAGTTCAATAAAACCTTTGCTCTAAAGAAACAGTCCACCACTATGTCTGCATTTGGGTCTAAACTCAAGCCTTTGTGATCATTTGTATTTTGTAATTAGTTTTTATTTTTGTTTTGACTCTTTGTTTTTATTCATTTTTAGTTTTCTTCAGTCCATGAATGCCTCATCAGACAAGCTGTAGTCATTTTTATTTTACCAAACTAACAGATACTAGAACTAAGATTTTTTTTTTTTTCAGGAAATCATTTTCAGTTCATTTCTGATTTTTATTAAATGTGGTATATAAACCAGATATGGAGACCGTTCACCTTCAAAATAAAAGTTGTGCAGTTATTGCAATGTATCCATTCCACTTCTAATCTTGTGTGAATGGGATCAAGTTGGCAATTACACATAATCTGCTTGTGATAATTGAGTAATTAATTGTGATAGGTGTGTGATAGCCCTGCGACAGACTGGGGACCTGTCCGGGTGTACCTTGCCTCTCACCCTAAGACATCTGGGATACACTGCAGCACCCTCGCAACCCTGAAAAAGGATAAGCATAAGCGAATGGATTGATGGATGGATGTGTGTGATTGAAGTGTGAAATCTGTTTCATGTGCGTCACACATGAAACAGATATTCCCATTAACTTTTACACTGAATCTGTCAAATCAGATCTTCATAGATTAGAATTAGAAATGTATATTTTGTCCACAAACAGTGGCATAGTTGCAACATGACATGGGTCATGTCATGGTCACGGGGAGATTGCCATCCTATTTTTCCTGAAGTCTAACTGACATATTTAGCAGCAGTGAGGGCTTCCATTAATGCCAGGAAATCCAGACATCAGATAAAATGTCATTCAAGACACTGTGTTCTGGGCACCTTGCAATGTTTATGAATAAAAGTTATTTCTACAACTATGAAGTCTGAGTTTATACTTTTAACAGCAACACTGAGAATGTTAATAGATAGAAATACAAAATAAAAGTGCACAGTTTTAGATTCTCCTATAAGCCATTTACAGCATAACACAAGGTCACTGAAACAGTTGTGCAATGAATTAAAAGGATAAACCCCACTTTCTTCCTTTGGTCCAGTGACTATGTGAAACGTGTGTGACTATTTCAGAAAATCACAGATGCAAAAGCTGAACTCTGATTTCAGATAGGCGCAGAGGGAGGGAGTCTGGAACACCTTGAGCTGAACTCTATGCTGATGGAATCTTATCATTCAAATACTGCCCCTGAATTTCGTGTCTGTTTTTGCTCCCACTAAAAACCCTGAAGGTCATCATCCTTCATTGGGAGTCAGTGTTGAACTCCCTGCACAGCAGTGCACCTACATTTAAAATGAGGAAAGAGAAAGAAACAGTGCTAACAATGTTCCCCAAAAAAACTTTACTGGTGCACATAAAATGGATCAAGGAATATTATGTTAGGAATACTGCTAGAAAGGCTTTTCCCATTTGTATTTTTGCTTCATTGTACTTATTAAGGATTCAGATTAGCGATTGAGATCAGGAAAAAAATCTTCTTTAGACGCAGATTAAAAGTAAATCAGCACTGATACATATTCTGATATTTTTTTTCCCACTATTTCATATTATTAGCCACATTATGTTACAGTGTATAGATACAGAAGCAACATTTCAGGGTGTTGTATGTTCTCTTTCAATTATAAATGAGATTCTACCACAAAGACTCGATATAGGTAACAAGACACAAAAGCATACATTATCGTGTATCAAACAGTTATTCACAAGCCAAAGTGGGAAACAAAGCATGCTGATTTCTTGCCCCTAGGGATAAAACAAAGGGCTCAAGGTGTTTTTTCTATTTGTGAATGATAATCGACTGCTCATGGTTAAGTACAAAATTAGACTGCAACAGCTGTGTCACCTGTGAAAGGCGGTGTGAATTGGATTGCTCTCATTGTCTAGTCTAGCCTATACCAGCCGATGCAGCTGGCCGCCTCTGCTCTGTGGTTAATATGATTGACTGCTCCACTGTCTGTTGACTAATGTAATTGTCTGCAGCTATTTTGGTAAAGACTTGATCAGTGTAAAAGGCGACGGTCCCTCCTTGGTCACGGAAGGATCAAGTCACCTCCTGGGTGAAGACAGCCGCAGCAGGCTCGTGGCGGTGCCGCCGAGCGGAGCAGCCAGTCACTGCGTTTACGGTAGGCCAACCACACCAGCAGCAGCATCACTGTGACAAGCGAGGAGCCAACCACCAGGCTGACTATGACCAGAGCCAGGTCCAGTTCTGATGGTTCTGAAAAAAACACAAACAAACAGACCATAAAAGTCACAGCCATGACTTGTTTGTGCAGTGTTCCCTAGTCTTTTACTTTCATCGTGTAGCTTTATATGATGCACTCATGAGGAGAATATCTCATTTCCTGTCACATCATCTGCCGTGTATGCTCTGTTATCTCAGATCATCATTTTTGTGTAAGGACCAGCTAATAATTACCTATCTCCTCTGGAAAGGTAGAGTTCTTCACTTGTTTCAACATGGGTCCAAAGGATATGCGATTTTTCAGATTGGTGACAATAGCTTGCGAGCCCTCTGAGGGAAGTGCACGCCTCTTCTGAAGGCACTGCTACAAAAAGACGAGGAGATATGAAACAATTAAGTTTGGAAAATTGTGAAATAGCTAACAGGTTATTATCTGTTTGGGTGATGGATGGTTTTTCTTTCTGTCTGTGATGATAAACAGAAAGAAATGTGCACAAAAGCAACACAAACAAATCACTCCTCTGATAAATATTTTGGAAAAACCTGATTTCTTTCCTGGCAGTTTTTTTTTAGTTGAATAAAAAGAGCATGAGCAGAAGTATTTATTTCAAATAAAGAGCTGCAAATAAGGATTTGAGCTTGTAAGGAACAGCTTTCATTTAATCTAGGCATCCCATTCTGATTTAGAGCAGCTCAAACAGCTGCTTTTTGCAATGCAATGTATAGCTTTTCTGTAGCTGATGTGCTTCACCAGAATACATAGTCTCACATCAAGTGCAAAGAAGAAACACATTTTGTCACAACAAGAGGGGGGAAAGGAGCAATAGATGTGGACAAAGAAAGTTGCAGATAATGCGGTACAATTTGTGTCAAAGCTCAAACTCTCAAAGTGTTTTACTGCTCTATAAGATGGAGCTTTTATTGTCTACCATATATCCCCACTCTTTTACATGACCACTGCAACAGGAAAAAACAAAAGAAAAATGGCTGAGAACTTAGCAATACTAGAATCACAGCTGCTGTGGGAGCTGTGGAAGTGCTCTTCAAAGCCAGACATTAAAATGAGTCTCTGGAGTTTTCCCTCTCTTTCACCTCCGCCCTCTAACATGCACTTGTCAGATGATTCCCCTTTTCTCATTAAATCAGAGCCCTCATTCCCAAAACAGCAGGATACAGGGGTTGGTATTAGAGCTGCTTGTCTAGTGTTATTCTCTAACTTTGTGAAGATGGGGTTTGACTCCGGTCTTTGTATTCTTGCTAAAAAGTGAGCTGTATAAAATACTTATTAGTATTAGCAATGGCATGCTGCATTAGTTGTACCAAAGCATTCTTTTAACTTTGATTCTGAAAAATTATGTATGCCTATGCTTTCAAATAATTTTCATTTACCCTCTCTCTTTGCTCTTGTACCCAACCAATTTAAAGGAGCCCGCTCACTTCTAGTCTGTCTCCATGTTTTCCGTGTCACAAAATTTAAATTACCTTCAGTCGCTCGCTCTTTCATTCTCTCACATCATTACGCTGTGCACCCACTGCAATCTTACCCTTTCACAGTCAGAGTGGTTCCTCAGGCAGACACTCAGATCGCAGTGTAGGTACACTACTGAGTAATTAATCATTTGGAAGAGACTGATGGTGAAGCTGGCACTCGTTGACAAGGCAGTGGGCAGTAGTGTGATCCCTGCTGGTTCTGCTGCTAACCTGAGGCACCAAAACAAATGCAGAGTATAACCTTAGTGGATTTTTTTTTTTTCTTTAAAAGACATAGTGGAATGTTTAAGGAAAAGCAGTTAAAGTGAGAAAATCCTGGCACAGGCCATGGAAGCTGCAGTAATCAATAAACAGTGCACCCTTTTTGTGTCAATATTTTGGATTGGACTGAGCTGAACACTTAAAATAACAATAAATCATATTAGGTAAATGTCAGCTTTTGTTTTAGGGTGTTGTAAGATTGGTAGTTATGGTATGTAATGTTAATAGGTTTTGCTATAAATTCTGATTTAGCGTCCAGAATATATTCACCAGTGTGCTGATTTTTTAATCATTTCCTCAACTCTTTAGGAGGTATTATGGTTAATATTTCAAGGTAATTTAAAATGATTTACTGTTTTTTTTTTCTTCATTCCACTTAGGAGAAATACATTTGAAAAAAACTGCACATCACTGGTGTAAACATTTTTTAAGTAAGTTTCTATCTGACTGATCCTGGCTCAGAGAGATAGCACCATCAACCTACAACAGTCTTTTTATCTAGAATATTTAACTCTTAGAAATGGACCTGCAGCTTCCTGGATTGATGTAAGTTATAGTAAAACTGTTTATCTGGTAAATAAATAAATAAATAAATAAAAATACATATACTTTTAAGCAGTGACAGTCTAGCCCTACGTATAATAACAACCCTGGGCCGTGTGGATAAGTGGTAAAAATGTGATACCTGATTTTTTTTCATTATTTTAATTCCCCCATCACCAGGTCACAGATTTGGAAAAATTGAACATTTAAACTTATATTTAATCAAAAGTTTGAATGAGACTGTCTAACAACCTTATTACAAGAAGTCAACAAACACTGATGTTATCAAAGACATCAGAATTCTATCCATCCATCCATTTTCTTGACAGTTTATCCAATTCATGGTGGTGGGGGATTGCTGAAACACAAGAGTTGGAAAAGAACACAAACTCTTATTTCCGGCTTTCCTGTTTACCTGGAGAAAAGACAGCAGGTAGAGTTTGCAAGGTCTGGCTGGATGGTTGGAGACAGGCAACAGGAGGTGACCCCGAGGTTTATCTGACTGTTGTTTGTCTTTAGGTTGATAACCACTCTGAGGTTCCCCTGGGCAGGTACAGCATCGCCAGGCTCTACACCTCTCCCAAGGTCAAGACTCATTTCTGCTGTGTAGTTTCCACTGCCACACAGATCCTCTGAAACTTCTGTTATACTACCAACAAATTGGTGTATTTGCAACATAAATCTTAACATATTTACATCATAAATATCTTTAAAGAAGGGCAGCACCAAAAATGTTATTGTGTAAAGTACTGCATATTACATACTTTATGTTACTGCTAAACATACACACAGGAATCTTATTTTGTGATTGATTTCTCAATGTAGACATTCATTTACATCTGTTTTGATTTAGTATAGAAATCAGCTTTAGGACTTGCAGTCACATGAGTATCTCAGGTTGAACAAATACAGCTCTGAAAACTCTCCCCACCTTAGAGTTTTCACAGTTGTGAAGGGTAGTAGTAGTTATGTCTAAGTTATTTTGCTCAGCCAAAATTCCTAATTGTGCTATAAACATTAAATTGACTGCAGAAATAAATAAATAAATAAATAAAATGGCATCCTATCCTAGTCTTTTTGCCAACTGTGGTTCCTGACTTCTTTTCACAAATTAGGAAGAAAAAAACGTAAAAGTCATGGGATCATTTCTAGTCACTATTTTAATCATTCAAAATCTCCAGTATGTGTTAACTAATTATAAATAGTAGCATTACCCAGAGAGATGCAGATGTGATGAGGTCCTCCCCCTGCGCTTCAGCTTTGGCAGCTCTGACTCAGACTCTGGCAGTAACAGGCTGCGCCCAGACTCTTCTTTAGCCGCGGCACTCACTGACCTGGTGGCATTTTGCGCTTCAAGTACCTCGACGTTGCCTGTTCCTCGGTTTAATTGTGTTTTTGTGTTTTTTTCAGAGAGCACCGTCAGCTCAGTAGCCTTTATTGTGGTCTGCAGAAGAGCTGCTTCAGGTTCAGATAAAGTGACCTCTTTAGCAGGAGCCTCCTGAGCCTTCGAGGTCTCTCTGTGAAAGCGTCTTTGTGTTGTTTTCCTTACAAAGTGGGGCCTCTCAGGTGTCCAGTGCCTCTCCAAATGAACAGCTTTAGCTGCCACACTCCTGGCCTTTTTTGACATCGTTTCATCAACGCCGTGATCGGATTCACCGATACTGATGAATGCTGAAAGCGTTGCATATTCAAGGTCAGCAGCCTGCAGTGTAGCCTTTCCAGCTACAAGACAGTCAGAGCTGCAATTGCCATTTTCTGGTTTGGCGCCAGCAGTGTCCTCGTCTCTGAAATGATCTCTTTCTGTGACTGCACCCTGTGTTTTATACATTTTCTGACTATGATCAATTTCACCTGCTCCAGTTGTTGTTTCAGTCGTCTTGGTTGACCGAGCACAGCCGATAGTCCTACAGCTGCTTTTATTAATAATGTCTGCGGGCGAGATCCTTGTAGTTGGTGCAGAATCTGCCATAAATCCAGATATCAATTGACTTATTGAAGTCTTTTCATGCGAGGTCTGCCTGTCAGGCTGCTCTGTTCTGTCCTGCGTATATGCTGCAGAAATTTTCTCAAGTAGAGATTGTTTGGCTTCAAAAGCACTCTTTGTTGTCAGAGCTGTTTTGATGTCTTTAATTAATGAATATTCCATTTTTCTAAGCATGGTAGATGTTGGACCATGCAAACCTTCAGCTCTGTCGGATGTCTGCAGCAAGTCTCTTTGGATGTCCTTCTCTGGGTCATTAATATTATGTGTTATTGCAAATACAGCAGGAGCAGCATGTTGACTCTGTTCAATAGTCCGTACAGAAATTTTATCCTCAGGCAGCTGGGCACTGTGTGTTTCTGTTGTGTGTTGTCTTTTCACAGCACGGGTGGGTTTGCCAGTAGTAGGAGTTATGGGAGGCCCTATCAATGACAAAGGCTCAGTATGATGATTCGAGTGCTCTATGTGCTCAGCAGCAGCACGAGATGACTTTTCCACAACTGGCACACTCTCACTAGCCATCAGCAGTGATTCGGGATCTTCTTTGGACACAGTAACACCACCTATGGTAGGAGTTGGAGCCAGGGACACGGAATCATCAGTTACTGCTGTTATCATTTGAAAAGAAGAAGTAATTAGCTGGTCGTCAGTCTGGTGTGTGGATTTACTGAGGATAATGATATCATTTCTGAAAGTAATATGTGCAGCAGGGAGAGCACTGTTGCTCACTGAATTGTTTTGCTTTCCGGGTGTTTTTTCTGCATGATGCTTCACATCAGAAACAGACATTTTAGTCACATCATCATGCTGGATTTTAGGCTTTTCAGGCCAACCTTCTGACTCAACATCTAGAGAGGTGCCAGATGGGGCATGTGTGCCAAGGGCAGGTGTTCCAAAATCATACACAAAATTGTCGTCCATAGCCTGCTCAGTCCTGGGCCCAGCATGAACCGCAAGCATGACAGACTTGATGGGAACTGTCACTGTGCTGTTTGCTTCATTTTCGCCATTTACACGGATCAGGTCATTCTCATGAATCATTTTCATTGCTGGTTTATCAGCCTGCATTATAGACAAAGAGTTAAGTTCATCTATGTTATCTTTATTGCTGCCGGTCATTGGTGTAATAAAAGGTAAACTGTTCTTTTCAAGTCTCATCTCTGATATTTGCTCTGTGACCAGCTCTAAATGTTTCACTTTCAAGGTCACCATTGTTCGTGCATTATCGTTCTCCTTGATTTGATTTGTCTCATCAGCAGTCCCTAACAAAGACTCGACACGGTCACTTTCACCATTCGCATGTTGAGTGTTGGAATTGGCCCTAAGTAAGTTTAGTAAGACAGGGCTAACCGCTGATCCGGTTAGACCTGTCAGCCTATAGGTGCCAGGTAAAATGTCACCTCCAAACAGGCTGAGATTTAGCAGCGGTGACATGTTGGTATGGGGAAATTGATCGTTTTCCGCTTTAGGACTCGATGATGCCGTTAGGGTATGCACAGATCTCTGCTCGTTACCATCAACAGAGGTATGCAGAGCATCTGGATGGGCTGTCTGCTCTGACAGTTTAAATGAGCATGGCTGGCCTGAAGTCATGTCAAAAGAGGGTGAGGAGGAGGACTCGCTGATCTGAGGGACAGGCTGCGCTTGGCGAGGCTGCAACTGGCCTATGGAGATGTGGGCCTCAGATGACAAGACTGTGGCCGTGGGTGGCCTAGTAGATGAGTCATTATACATCTTCTGGTGTGGAGCGGGATTCACTGATGCTATAATGTATTCTGCTTGCTCGCTCTCATTTGCGGTATGTAAAATTGAATTGGCCTTTGAAACTGAAGCACTAAATTTATGCCTGTGATCTGGGATGTTGTAAATAATTGATATATTGGGAGTAGAACTATTTACTGTAAAGTGGGGCTCAGCTCTCGGGAATCCAGCTGCGGTTGTCAATCGATGGGTGGTGAGTGACAACATATTGCTGATAGTCTTTAGTAAAGGGTGAGTGAATTTAGCTGCACTGCTGTTTGGGGAAACCGATGGCTTTAATATTTCCCCAAACTTTAAAGTGTGATGTCCAAATGTAGCTTCAACAACTTTGTTCCGGGCACTTTCTTTAGCGAGTGATGACGTAACTTCATGCTTTGGAAGAACGTCCTTGGGGGGAGAGAGATGAGATCTAATCTGTGTGTATGGTTCTTTGGGAAGAGATGTTGTTTTTGATTGGTTTGGGCTCTGACTTGTTGTTCTGTGATTTTTTGTCACTTTATAGGTGAATGATTTATTTGTGATTTCCACAATAGCTGTAGCATTTTCTCCCAGATGAATGCCCTTGTTTTCAGTGGTTCCCAGCTGTTTAATCAAACTGGGGCAGGGAGACAGGTTCTCAACAGCGTGTTCTTTATCTCTGTTAAATTCTTTCGAATTAGTAGGGGGTCCAAAGGGAACATTTGTCATGCCCTTTTTCCCAGTTTCCCCAACACATTTATTGTCTTCTTTCCCCTCTGGTGTTTTCTCGCTTCTATCCTCTGCTTCTTCCCTTTTTAAAGACTCACTCTGCTTTTCAGCTGCAACTTTTAGGAAATTCTCTTCATATATTTTAGTCACACTGTCTCTTTCAGCTCCTTCTTCATCACTGATTTGCCCTTTTCTTTGATCCAGGTTTTGCCTCAAGGTTACACCCTCCTCTCCATTGGTCGTTCCACCTTTTTCCCTACTCATGTTGTCGGTTTGCGCTGCCATTTCTTCCCCTTCCCTGTCTACATTTTGATTTGTCTTAGCTCCAGTATTGATTATTTTTTCTTGTTCTTCTTCTCTGCTCTCTTTAAATTTTTCTCTTTGATAGTTCAAAGTTGTGTCTTTCCTGTTTTTCTCTCCTTCCTGCAACTTTATTATTGCTTTCATCTCCTCATTGTTTTCTGTCTTGTTCCCATTTTCTACAACTGCATACAACACCTGTTCATTTTCATCTCTTGATTTTGCATCATAATCTCTTAGTGACTCTCTGATTAAATCCCCACTATATGTTGAATAAGACTGACGAGTTGATGCTACATTCTTCCCTCTAGCTACATCATAAGTTCCTACCTGGATGAGTTTAGACTGAGTCCCTGAAAATTTACCTATTGTCAGTTTCTCAGAAAGGGATTTGCTTGATAGTGTTGGTAGTGTCAACAAGGGCATGTCATCACCAAAGTCCTGACTCAACTCTGAGAGAAACAACTTCCTGGGGAAAACTTCTGTTGTTGCGGTGGTTGTAGTTTGTGGTTTTCTTATAACCGGTTTATTCATTGGCCCTGTGGGATCAACAGAAGAATGTTTAACAATGCTGTGTACAGCGTTAAATGTCAGAGGATCTTGTTTATCTGTCAAGTGTGTCTTTGTGGTTGCAGATGCAAGCTTTATGGCAGAATCCTTTGGTAACAATGTCAGTATGGGTCCTTTGGTCTGAAAGCTTGGTTTAGCTTGTGTTTGGAGGCTCAGAAGAGAGATCAAAGAATCCACTCTTCTTGTCTGAAAGTGAGACTCAGGATTTTTGACTGGCAAAGCGGTTGGCCTACTCCCGCTGAAGGGTGTTGCTGCAATGTGAGCTTCAATCGAGCTCATTCTTACTGCTGGATGAGATGCAGTGCTGTGATCACTACCCTCTGTAATAACGCTTATGTGACTGTTGTGGGGAGCTGAACTAATAACAGGCATATTGCTTACCGGCCCACTGCTGATGTCCAAAGACTGTCTTTGAATGAAAGTTTTTAAGTTTGTTGAGACACTGTGGGAAGCTGTTTTGTTATTCTTACTGAAATACATCAGGTCTGACTGCGGGACCCCAGTGCTTACTTTTTTTTTATACAGCTCTTTTTCTCCACTTTCTACTGGTTTCCTTGCAATATAAAAGGATTTTGATGAGTGATAAAGTGTTGTAGGTGTTGAGACGGGTCTCTCTTTGGCAGAAGCTTCACTAGGATAGGTATGCCTCAATTGCTTCTTGGTGTCTTCTTTTGTTTCTGACGACACCTCAGCAAGAGGTCGTGTGTGAAATGCAACCGCTTCTGGAGCTGATGAAAAAAAAATGTTTGGGGAATCATTTGAAACGCTTTGAGTATGACTCTGAGTGTTACTGAAGGAAAAAGAAAGGAAAGTCTGATAGTAAGGTAAACTTTCTCCCTCGCTGAAACTGGAACGCTTGGTGAGGTTTGCATGACTGATGTCTCTGTTTAATATTTCTTCCTGCACTCGAGCTGACTGTTGATATAAACTGGTTAATGAGGCTGTAAGTTTATTGTTGTCTGGGGAGCCATGAGTTGACAGTGCAGCTTTCCCGGTGGAGCTTGGCCTTTGATCTTTCAGGCAGGTCAAACACAAGTTTGTTATTGTGCTTCCTCTCGGTGAATCTTCTGCTGTAGCATTCTGAAAGATGGATTGCACTGTGCCCAAGCCATACAGGTCTCTTCCCGGGTTTGTGGTGTCCTTGCCTTGAGACTGTTTGTCACTGCTGTTATTACGTGCTGCATCCAGGTTATCAATTACACGAGAATGAGATGCAGATAGCACTGGAGGTCTCAGGGATCCATCAGCAGATGTGTGCCTAACAGAGTTAGTGTTTCTTTGATTCCTGTAATCAAGAAGAGTGTGAAACCAAGGAGGGGCTTTCACTGCATCTGCGGTCAAATTGCCCTCTGGGTCAGAGGTGTCATTCATCATTGATTCTGTTGCAGATTGCGCAGAAGATGATGAGATCTTTTCATAATTAGAGATCAATAGTTTTTCTGATTCAGTGTCAATCCTCATAGCCAACGGCTCTCTCTTTAATATGAGAGAGCTATTCCCATTTCTGGAGACAAAATGCTTTGAGCTCGGTAGGGAAATTAAAGCTGACGCCTTTGTGATTTGACTTTTCTTATAAGGTTGTGTCGGTCTGGTGTCAAGCAAGACCGCCTCTGGAAACTTGGCAGTCAATGCCATTGCGGTATGTTGATGCGTCTTCTCTGTAGGTATTGCTTCTGTGCCATGACCAGTTGTGTTTTCATTTTTCAGAAGCAGATCTTTTGTGACAGTTGTGCCTTTTGTTTGCTCTGTGAAGTAACCTTGGAAATCTTCTTTTTCTGCCCTGACTATGAAGACAAAAGCAAAACATGTCACTCAAATGTCCTCCCTAGAGGCTCTGTTTCTTAAACCTAGCATGAAAAATAGCACAAAAATAACTAAATAAATTAAATAAATGTGTTACTGTTTAGTACTATTGAAGTCTTAAAATCACATTAGTACAAACACCTGGCATTCAAAATAAGACCGAGTGACCGAGTGAGGTTAAAGCATTTTAAATCAGCATCACTGTTTTAGTTATTGGAGAGGTTGTCTTGCCCTCATATAACTTGTCCTTGCTGGTGATTTTGTGAAGTTTAAAATAGTGTTAGAAAAAGAGCCTTGCTGCTATAGTACATGTATGCATAAGATACAAAATGTCTGAGGTTGATACTTAGAATGATAATTGCTGCACTGATCAGCCAGTTTACAAATTGAATTAATCTTTGCACATTAATATTGTGAGTTATTACCCTACGGCAAACTGAGGAAACAGCAAAAAAACCAAAAACCTATACCATAACATCGTATATTTAAATACAGGATAACACATACAGGTCACACATAGAATGGATGTGAAAGATAAATCAATTAATATTGATTATATTAAAACATGATCATAAAGCTAAACAAAGTAGTCTTATGAATGTAATACGCCTTAACTTATGAATGTATTCCTCTGATTTAGGTAATTACTTTAAAATTAAAATGTAAGAGCCAGAATATTATTTATGTATCTATCCATCTACCAGGCACGATACACAATTAAATATATATGTGAGGAAAAGTCTTTTATTTTATTCAAAGAGCTGCTATTTTATTTTATTATTTTCGGCATCTTTACTCTACTCTGCAGACTACTCTTTGTATTTTTTATTTTGGTATTTTCTTCAGATGAACAAATAAATAATCATTTCTGTATTTCTTAATATTGCTTTAATATTTTTTACATTTTAAGCAGTATATTGTATTTTAAGTATTCCAACTTTACAGCTCATATATGTGTACTGTATGCAGTTTATATATAGCTGCAAACTGCAAAAAAAAATAAACATATTCTAGCTAACATAGAAATAATTTATTAAATTGGCCAATTAATTGATTAATCTGCAGTATACAGGGCTTACCATTAAGTTAAGTTACTTTACTGAGAAAATAAACACAACTGTGAGTACATACCTGGAAGCAGAAAGAGTCCTAGTATAAAACAGTGAAGCATTTTCATTTCTGTTCTGTCTTGTTTGCGATTTAACAGTCCCGCTGATTAAATGCTCTTATTACTGTTTAATCCACCTGAGCAGAAGGTATCAGCTGTTTGCAGTTACTAGCAGATGGTGCCATCCCATGCAGGGAGCTTTTGTCCTCTGAAGTTCATTTATACGTGGATTCGATTTCACAGTAATCCTCCCTCTTTACAGTCACAACTACATGGTCATGGGTTAGAAGATGAAAGAATTCAATAAGGAATTTTACACAATATGTATCAGAAACTCTGACCATAGGGCAACAATACAATTAGTTGTACTGAAAATGCTACATGTTAATGTAAAAAAAACAAAAAAAAAATACCTTCACCATGTTAATGTTGCCTTGTCTGGTCAATATCAATCCTTCAAAATACAACAATACAATACAGCTTATTCAACTGTACAAGAAGCAGATATTTGATGTTATAAAATAATGGCATTCAAATCACATAAGATACAGATAAACAAGGTATAACTGGGTGCACTTATGTGGTGATTCATACATGAAATACCTCCATGAATAAGCACAGAATGTTGTTGCTGTTCAGTGTTTAAATACACTGTTCTAATACACTGAACAGTGTATTTAAACACTGTTCAGTGTTTAAATACAAGGAGAACGGAGGAGACTCAAATCCAAATGAAATACAGCAAATATTTAATGAATCTCTAGTCAGACTTGGTTTTCTGTAATAGCAAATCAATATAATCTTAAATGAAATTTAATAAATAGGAAGACTAATAAACAACCAGGACTGGCACGTCTTCATTTTCATTTACTTTCACTTTTACCCAAAGGCAAGCAAGTATCAATGCCTAAAACAGAATACAGGAGAAAACAAGACTGGGGTCAAGGAAGGATATTATAAACTGTGTGGTCAGGGGTTCATGAGATGAGCTTTACACAGGAGTGCAGAATTTCAAGGCCGTGTAGTTCTCGAAGTTTGCTCATGTGTCTGGAAATGAAAAAAAAAGTTTTGGGGTTTTTTTTTTGCAAAAGAAAGTAGCAGTAATATATTCAGCTGGTTGGCATTCAATTATAACTACACTCGCGTGAGCTCAGGAACTGAAGACTAACACATCCTCAACACAGTCACACAAGTGCTTCAGCCTGGAGGAATATTTTAGTCTTTCTAGGAATAAAGAGACACGTTGTCGCTGCCGGCTCCTATTATAAAGTGTACTATTCCAGTTGTACTTGCATAATCACAGAGGTTCTATAGTGGATGATGGCCCACAGCAGCACATCACTGCTTAGCTAAGAACGTGATCACTTTTTTTTTATATCCTCGTGGATTTATGAGTAGATGGATGTTCATACTCAAATTTCACTCTTCAGTGAGAGTCAGAGAAACAATATTTAACTTAACATGTTCTAGATCCTTAGAAAGCTTTCTTCTCATTTATTTTACAGGCTGTTAAAAAACATTAATTTTCCCAAATATTTATAAAATCCTCAAATAATGCTACTCCATAGACTAGCTCTTTTTTGTTAAAGAAAAAAAGAGCTCATTAAACTAATTAAATAATTGATAGCTAAATTTTATGATTTCTTTGCAAAAGCAGTGATTTAAGCTGCTGGTTTAAAGGTCATTCAAAGATTAAAAAAAAAAAATCCAAAGTAGAAAATATTTTTCAGTGTTATCACAGGCTTCCAAAAAGTTACAAAGTTAAGTCATTTTAGTTATTTTGAAACTGAAGTGCTAAAGAGCCATGTTATATTTTTACTGAAATTTTCAGTGAAAACACTACGTAGGTTACGTTTAACTTTTGCTGTGCAGCTGGATATAATGCTGTGACACTACTATTACACTATAATGTTGCTGTTGCTGGGTTCTTGTTTCAATAGATTTGCACTTCGAATTAGGCTGTGCCTCATCATTACAGCAGCAGGAAAAGAAGGATTTATTTACTTACACTAAAATAAATGCTACTGCCTGCAAGCATCAGTAACGGAGCCATTATTTTTTTCTGTATCATCAAAAATATACTTTTCATGAATTTCTTGAAATATTGTGATATAATATTTAGGCTATATCTCTTACCTCTACTATCAATGCTCAGTGTTGGGAAGGTTACCCTTAAAACGTATTCACTACAGATTACAGAATACATGCCCCAAAATGTATTTTGTAACGTATTCGTTACATTCGTTTGTTACGTTACTCAATGTTACTCTGAATACTATGAATTACTTAATATATTATCATGCTGTGATACTGTGACTATTACTGAAGGCTACTCACCATACCAATACCAACTAGATTTTTAAATCTTAATATAAATGAGTAATAGTAGGGTGGACATTAGGTAAGGCTGCACTTTTTGCAGCGATCTTGTATAGAAAACAGGTCCGCAGCTCCGAACCATAGTAAAGGGACCTCTGGCTAATGCATCGGGTTCTGTGTCGGGCTCGTAGCCGAAAACTGGCTTTACTTTGTTGTCCGGGTCAACTTTGCTAGCGAGAGACAGAAAGAGGTGTTGAAAGGCTGCTCCAATGGAACTTATTGTTTCGCAGGAAAACACGAACACGGTGTACAGTCGAGTCTTAATCCGGTCTTTAAATTTGACGTCATTAGCCGTGCCTGGGCCCAAACTCCGCTGTCACACGATCAGTGCGGCATCACTGAGAGTTAAAAACTGTCTAAATCCTTTCATCTGTAATAAAATGATCAGGGTTACTGCTCTACCAGTGTAACAATTACGTTTAACATCCAGGCATCCATGAAAACCAAATTTATGAAATTTAACGGGGTTAAAAGTTAGGTAATTTATAAACTATATTGACTAAACTATTACTAATAAACTTTGATATACGTGACTAGAGTGACTATCAATGAGAGTGAATATGGCTGGTTGACATAAGACCTGCTAGTTAATATATTAAAATGCCACCTAGGAAGCGTGTAATGTCCGGGAGCAACATGGCGTCAGCTTCAAAGCAATACGTGGTGAGCGACTTGGTTCTAGTGTTTACGTGGCTTTATCGAGTAGGGTGAGAGGGTACCTGGGTTCACATCGACACAACTTCCCAAGAGCTATTGCTGCATTTTGCTGCACAGCTGTCCTCTTAGCATCTCCTGCAGCGTGCTGCAGCAGCAACAGCACAATATCAGTGTCCAGCAGTTCACTGGCAACTCCCTCCAAATCAAGGCAGTGGGCCAAGCACAGGGCTGCATTTCCTGAGACCATCTCATCACAGCTGGAGCTCAGCAAACGACGTAAAATAGACAATTCTGTGTGAAATAGTAAATGAAAGGCAATTAGGATGTATATTAAATATATTTAAAAACACCTAAAGAATTTTTTTAAAAAATCAGTGGATGTAGTATTTACTGTCCTCATATGTGAATCAACACACACATGCACACACTTTATTTGAATATTAGGTCAGCACTCAAATTTTATTCATGGACTAATGAAGGAGCTTGTTAAAACCAACACGTCAATCATTCCTCACTTTTATCAGAGTTCACCAGCTTCTCCCGTGCCAAGAGACTGGCAGCAGTGCACACTGTCAAAGTCTTAATGGCATACTTAGTGGCAGTCTGCCCGGCTCCCTGGGTAGGCAAGCACAAAAATAACAATGACATTAAAACCAGCAGAATGAATGTGGGTAAACATTAAATTTATGGTGACAGTCAGAGGTCACATGAAATAGGAAGAAAAACTGTCTTTTAGTGGAATTACGGCAAATATGCATATATAGAGAAAATTTGGGTCTCTGGCTTTGTTGCATTTTGTGTTGCTTTGATGATACATGATACAAAACATGAATGCACAAGACAAATAACCAAGCTCACAAATAAGCAACGTATTCAGGCCAAGTAGTTACATGCGCTACTATGAAATGAATATGTGTTATACAATGACATCTTTCAACAAGAAGAAGCAGATAACTATGGTGACATTTGAGCAGTAGATTAGTGTTCACAGTTACCACCTTCAGGAGCCTGCACATTGTTTTGACCATTTCCCTTTGGATAACATGCTGAACGGCTTGTGAGGACTGGGGTAGGACATTGCTTAGCACACCTGTGGCTCTCTGGAGAACAATGAAGAATTTTGGCATTAGAAAATGAAATAATACAAGAGGCTTGAAAAACAAAGCAGAGAATTTAGATAGCAGATTATCAAAAAACTGCTATGGGGCAAGGAAAACTAGCAGAAAAAAACATTTGAAGAAAAAGGGTGTTTTCAAAAGATAATAAAAATAAGGCTATTACAAACTGGAAACTCATTGCAGGTTAAAATGTCTAAATTGCACTGTATTTTCCAGGATTTTGAAAGCACAGTTTAATATTTTGAAGATACAAACTACACAATATGTGGGTGTGCAGTAGACAAAATAGAACAAAAGTGATGAAAAAAATTGTTCCTTCTTTTCTCTTTGTTTGCCGACACAAAGGAGGTTATTTTTAACAACAAATTAGGACCAGACTGGGTTTCAGGCTGCAGTCAGCTTGGTCTAAAGCCACTACTGGCAATAATGTGAATAATGCATCTTTAAAAACTTTGAAGGGTGTTTTGAAGAAGTTTTTACTTAATATTTTACCATAAAGATAACTTTCTCATGCTTTAAAGCAAATGTTAACTGTCGTTTCCAACGTATAATTGGAACATACATGCTCATTACAGATCCTCTCAGCAAAGCTAATCATAAGTAAATATACAAAATAGCAACACAATAATAGTAATAATAACAACAATAATGCAACAATTCTTAAGATAGGTGGTGCATGACAACATAACACCCGCATGGATGGCTGGACCCAAGGTCTCCCAGCAGAATATTGTCCAAAGTATCACAGTGCTTGCTTTTTTCCCATAGTGCATCCTGGTGCTGGGTGTTCCCAAGGTAAGTGCACCCAGCCATCTACCACGTGATGTAAAAGAAAAAACATGATGCATCAGACCAGGTCACCTTCTTCCACTGCTCCGAGGTCCCGTTCTGATGCTCACAAGCCCAATGTCAGAGCTTTGGCGATGGGCAGGAGTCAGCATGGGCACCCTG